TATATATATATATATATATATACGCGTTGCAGTATCGTGAATTGTTTTTCTTTGTTATTAGCTTCATTTTCAGTGTCGTATAACAAGGTTATATCCAACTTTCTTAGATGTCATGATCTTTCTTTGATCCTCGTTGGTAAATGAAAGAAATTTTCATTCGCAATGCACAGTATCGATAATACTGCCTTTTTTTCTATAACTTTATCTTCTTCGCGTTTTCACAAAGGAATCAAAGTTGTATAATCATGTGACTAACAAACGATGCTATTAGTTCGGCTGGTAGGTAATTATACGATACGATTTCTTCAATGACATTAAGTTATAAATCTATATACTTTGTTGTGCAATAAAATGCTCCTGTCATATAAGTTACCTAATTTTTTTATGCCAGATTTGTTGTTAATTTTGTATCTAGCTTGTACAGTCTTCTCTTTCTTTTAAGGTGTTTTGCATTTGGTAATCCCTAAAAAATTGTAGTTCAGAAAATTCACTGACCAAATGTTAATTAGAAATGCGGTCAGGTGGTGATTATATTTTGATAGTAAATCTCGCAGAATTATTACCGAGTTTCTCATTAATTGAGTTTTTCATACCTGTAAGTTCTTGCGATAAAGACAATGCTTCCGAAACATATTGGTCAAAATTATTATTGAACATATTGTTGAAATTATTGCAGTAGATTTTTAACTGCTCTCAAGTTCAAAGTGTGCCCTGTTTTCGTAAGATTCTCTGAATTTTGTGCAGTCTTCTTTAGTTGCTCTAGTGCATTTCTCAAAATGTACATTGCAGTTGGTTTTTACGTTTAGACAAACAGTTTCTAGTGTCCTGTGGTTTTTTTTTTTTTTTTTTAAATCATGTAATGCTATTAACATCATTTCTATTATTAGTAATTTATTAACGTCATGGTACGTGTGTCTCTCAATGATCGTTTCAAACAGCAAACTATTAATTGCTTTTTTATATTCCTGTTGTAATTTAATTATTGAAAAAAAAAAGAATATCGTGGTCGATTAGCCCATACATTCTGACCGTGAATACTTTAGAATCTGAATTACACATGTCAGATTCTGTTCAAAGATTACATTTTTGTTCTTATCTGACCGAATCTATAACCTGTTAATTTGGCTGTGTGTTATAATTAAGTGCATAGCACGATTTCTGCAAAAAGAAAGAAAGAATCGTCTAGTGATAATGTTACAAGGCACAAATTAACAAATAATAAATAGCTGCTTTAACAGAAGCTGCAAATCCCTATATAGAATTAAATTGAAATATTTCAACTTGCCTTTCCGTTACATTTTCATTTTATAATTTAAAGGCCAAGAATTTTGTAGTTTTTATAGATTTCTATTGCTATTTATTATATTTATTATTATATCTTATATTATTATTATTATTAAGTGCTATTGTACACGTAGATAAATCACGTTAATACAGCTATTTAAATGGCATTTTATAGCTATTTATAGAATCACTAGTATTGTACAAACAATAATAAGAAAATTTTGTATGAAAAAATTTGGATTACTTAATACCAGCTATTCTCAATCTTTCCTTTTCGAATGCTTTCTTTACAAAGCTTATTGAACCATTCGTATTAAACCTAAACCTAACCTAACCTAATCTAAACCTATACACCTACCTAACCTATACACTTCGCCTTCCGATTGTTCGACTCATATATTTTAAATACCAAGTGGCAGACTAATTTGAAAGCAAATTGCAAATCTACCTACAAAGTTAAATGCAACAACTCGAAGAAATCCCTATCCACAAACTTGGCGTAACGGCGTAGACTTTCAACTATTCGAAATATGGCAAGTGAAAACGAGGATGCGCCTGTAAACAGGCGAGACAACATGTAAACAGAGCAAGGAGCGATCGTCTGAGACAATAGAACGCATAGACGAGCGTGCCTATCATGTTTTCGTAAGAGATCCAGGCGAATCTCGCGTGCAATGTAACGTGTTCTTGAACGGCAGAAACACGGAATCTGTGTATAATTATTTTACCGTGAAACGCCAGTGTAAATCGCTGTACGATGTATTGTTTCGGGCAAAGAGATAACGTAAACGACAATAGAAGGTAATAATAATCAGGGAAGCAAGCGTTAACGTGATACCCGAAGCATATTAATTGCAAGTGAAGTTTGTAATTAATAATATCGTGTTACAATTATCGGTCGATAAATGAATGAGGGGGAGGGGGAGGTGGGGGAACACCGATATCGTTACAACATCGTTTACCCGTGTCACCGCTGGAAACAAAAGGCGAAACGTCCCGTGCTGATTGACTTCCGTCCCAACAATCCATTGAAATTGTAAAAATAATTGCTTCTTCCGCGTTAAATGTCCTGCGCAATTATGTCGTTCTGAGCGACGAACGTATAAATCACACACGTGTGCACAGTCGCTTCGATGCCTGCGGTAACGTCAATACACGTGTGTAGCATGTAGCATGTGCGCGGTACGTATGAAAAGATTTCCATTGCTTTCGAAGATACGAGAAAAACGTTAAAGTTGTGCGATTCGAGCGAGTGAGGTGAAAGACAAAGGGAAATGTGTTCGCCGAAAATATTCATTTCCCACGTTTCACCGTCGTGGTGGGAAAGCGAAATTCAAACACCGAATTGCAAGGCAGCAACAAGGGAAACAATTAAATTTCCTCTCGAGGCAAACTTATACGAATTTGTAATTGTTACAAATACTCGACGATTGTTTCTTCGGCGACAGCGATCCTAGATCGTGCGTTACGGCTTTCACTCTTCCCGGCTCTATCTAGACATCTTCGCAGATGCGACGAGGGTTATAGAGACACTATTGACTCTCGAAGCTATTCCGACGAGAGCACGGGTGGTGAGAGCACGCTCTCGCTCGCTGGGAAGTTTAATTATCCCCTTCGGTACATCCTGCTGGTCGTTGATACTGACGAACAATCGCGTGTGCGCGCGCGGACGCACGAATATATATATATGTGTGTGTGTGTGTGTATGTGTATGTACACGATGAACGGAATGGAGACGCGTCGATGGGCGAGAGTTGCGAAGAAGGGACCGGGGGGTTAGATGGATGGAGAAGTTGTTTTAGCCGAAATCTGCCACGGCAGCCTACAACGTTTACCCTTTTAGTAGCGGCGACCCCCGCCGCCACTCGGCTCGCTCGCCATTCTTCGTCCGTTGCTTCTAACCACCGTCTCTGCAACTATACTCGGCTCCGTCCTTTCACCCTCTATATCGGGTGTCCCTTAAACTCTTGCGCTGCAATGACGTGCCACGCACGTCGAGAACTTTTATCCCAAAATTGCAATATTTTCTCAGTTTTAAATATATTTAAGCACAACCCAAGCAAAACAAACAATAAATTTATTACTTCTTCTCAGTAATAACTTCTATCCGGTGATACCATACCGACGAATTCAAAAAGAAAGCGACGAATTATTGTATAAGGTCACTCGTTATGGTCCGCGAACCAATTGCCGGCGCAAGAGGTTAACTTTTAGAGAACATTTTGTCGAGAATTTTCTGTCCCAAAACTGCAATATTTCCTCAGTTTTAAGTACATTTAAATATATCCCAGGCAAGGCAAATGATAAATTTATTACTTCTTAGTAATAATTTCTATCCAGCGATATCGTAAAGAAAGCAATTATTGTATACAGTTTGGTCACTCGTTATGGTCCGCGAATCAGTTGCCAGCGCAAGAGGTTAACTCTCGGCACTTTGTCACTCGCCGCATTTTTAGTCGCGACTCTTCTTTTCTAACAAGTACAGTTCCGTACCACGTGTACCACCAATGACGAACTTTCCATTCAGGCTGCGTGTACCATCGGTGGTACATGCTGGCATATTTATTTAATGCGTTAAGAACGTATACTTTATAACAAGTTTAAGACTGTAGAATATATTGCCACCAAAAGAACGAGGCATTATAGAAAATGCAGTATAGAACACAGCACACAAGTTTGTTTAAATGTTATATATACAATAATTAATAATTACATGTAATGTAATTTCACTTTGTTAAAGTATGAAAAGGGCTTGTTTTGACAATCGCTGCGAAACATCACTACTTTTATAGTTTTTTGTCTTGCTACTTCAGTACCGAATTTTTTTACATTTTGTTTATAGTAAGAATGCTAAATGGAAGTTCTATTTCGCTAGAAAAACTACGTTTTGTATTTCCATGGTATCATTAGAAGTAAAAATTGAAAATTGGATCACTGGATCGATACAAAAAATTAAAAGGCAAGAAAACAAATGAAAAAATGTTATCTCCGTATGTTTATCTATTCCCTTTTTTGTTAAATATTTTATTTCCCTCGTTTTTTTACTCAACAAATTCGAACATGGCAGGTTCTTTTTACTAACCGAAAGGTTAAAACTGCGATTGCAGCGCCACGTGTACACAATGTGATAACTACTCTGTTCTATATAATCTGATTATTTATGGATTGATGACGTAACGAAATATTGTGTGGTAATATATCAATCTTTAATCAAACCATCAAATGGCCTGAATGAAACGGCTCGGCACGGAACGTGTTAAATTTTTGTCAAATACGTAGAAATATTTTGAAAATAATCTAACGAAACGCACACACAAGAATAATAATAATAATAACAATAATAATAAGCAAGAAAAACATCTCGAATATTACACGATGAATTGAAACGTATAATGAGAATATTGTGGCGCTAAATCGTTACGAATCTAATGAACATAAATCTTTGCAAATCTTTGTTATTGTTTTACGTTACGGTACACCCTGTACAGACGCACGCAAAGTACGCTATGACCTGAAACGGGTGGCACAAGGGGCATTGGTATGGCGAAAGGAAAATTCGCGACAGAGCCTTTGATGTCGCTTAAACAGAAAACGTCGGCCCCTGCTGTTCCACGGCTTAGATTCTTCCTTCCTTCCTTCCTTCCTTCCTTCCTTCCTTTCTTCCTTCCTTCCTTC